TCACGCCCAGCCCACCGGACGTGACGCCATTCCCTGGGCCACCGGAGGTCACGCCCAGCCCGCCGGAAGTCGAGCCGTTCCCGGGCCCACCGGAGGTGACTCCCAGCCCACCCGAGGTCACGCCGTTCCCGGGGCCACCGGAGGTGACTCCCAGCCCGCCGGAGGTCACGCCGTTCCCAAGCCCGCCGGAGGTGACCCCCAGCCCGCCAGACTACGCGCCGTACCCGCCTCCGGAGTCCTCACCGGGGTCCGGGTCGGGGTCGTCCCCGAGCCCGCCGGGGGGCAGCTTCCAGCCGCCGGTGGTGCTCCCGCCGACGACCGGGCCGCCGTCGCCGTCGGCGGGGCACGCGGAGTGGTGCGTGGCGAAGCCGTCGGTGCCGGCGGCGATCGTGCAGCAGGCCATGGACTACGCGTGCGCGTCCGGCGCCGACTGCGAGTCCCTCCAGGCGGACGGCGCCTGCTTCAAGCCGGACACCATGACGTCCCACGCCTCCTACGCCTTCAACAGCTACTGGCAGCGCGCCAAGTCCACCGGCGCCACCTGCGACTTCGGCGGCACCGCCATGCTCATCACCAAGGACCCGAGTAAGCCACATCACCTCCTCTCCTTCAACCCCATTGCCATCTTCCATTCTTCTTTGCTCTTCTTGTGATTGACTGATGCTGTAACCATTTCTTGATCTTCATTTCCAGGCTATGATAACTGCCATTACAGTGTGATGTGAAGAACAGAACAGCCTCCCAAACAGATGCCATCAGTGGTGTATGGTTTTGGAAGCTGGACACCATTGTCTGCTCAAGTTCAGAGGAAGTAGTACAGATATACATACAGATATATACATGTAGGCTGTTTTGAATGTGAGCATGTTCAGTTTGTGAATGTACCCATCTAACTTTTGCTTCCTTTTGACACATATTGTTTTGTATAATTCTGAATAACGCTATGTAATTTTCCATCTTCATGAATTTCATAATGGCAACCACGGTCGTCAGTTGACAAGTCTCTGACGAAGGCTTTGCTAACTGAACATCAGTGACCACTGAGAAGTACTCCCTCCTCCCTCCTCGAGCTTTTATTGCTAAGTTCAATTTATGTAATGCGTGCACAAAATCAACCGACAGGTCGTCTCTTCAACACACACATAAAACAGGGTATAAAACAACACATGCCCTTGCTCAGGCTGGAACTTCATCGGAAGAAGGGTATGTCTGCAGAACGTGAACCGGGTCGCCGACCTTGACGATCCTCCCTTTGCCCTTTGCTGACACCGACTCCTTGCAGACCAGGTTTTGCCCAAAGTATACCTGCAAAACGAGATAAAAATGCGAGCGGTCAACGGCTTGTTCTACTACTAAGAGTACAATAGGTTGAAAGGGGCTATTAGTTACCTTCTGTTTATTCTTGTGGCTTGGACGGATCACTTCACCGGACCGGAATGTCAGCATGGTTTCTGTTGGTTCGGTGCCGCCAGGTATTCCGTTCTCTTGATTAATGGTAGGCACCTGAATCGGCAAACAGAGAAACTAAGCATAGAGTATATACTCCTATATATATATATTACCTTGTGAATGTTTAGTGTGCACATCATTCTACTGAATTATGGTGGTGTAAGGTTTATGAAACTGATGAACAAGTTCATAAGTATCAGCTTTATAAGAACTGTCCCCATTGTTCATCCGTTGTTACTTGCATGCCCTGTGGTAGTCCTCGATGTCATGAAGAATTACCTCAGGAGGCCAGCACTAAGCCAACTGATATACCAGTTACTCACTTGCACTCAAGTAACTCTAAGTATGTTAAATATGCAGCGAAGGAGGATTTTTCACACCCTGAGACTTTAGCCTGTTGCTTATGTAGCTATGGAAAGGGTGGAAAGAAAAGAAGCAAAGCAATTTGCTATCTGTTAATATCACGTTTCTTTTCAGAAAATGACTGCAGAATTAAGTTTCAAGCACAATCAACCACAGCACCAGATCTGGGAATTTTACCTTGCAACGGTCGCATAACTTCACGCCGTCAAATGTTAGCTTGTTTATCTTCATGGTTTTCCACAGATCCTCTGCGTACGGGTGGCATCCATCCACTAAA